CCAATTCTATCAGAGCCAAGAGCCGGATTGATGGAGAATAGGTCTCTTGGAATCATCATTTCTACTCCACCGAAACCTGACAAGGGCCCAAAGCAGTCTGGCGATGCAAATACGAAGTGATCACATGGGGCTCAATTCGTATCTACATAGAAGAAAAGTATCAAAGATTTAATCTGTCCATAACTCTGAGCTTGATGATAGACAGCAAGGTGAAGAATATCATGATCTGTCATTTAAGATAAAAGGGCGAAAAGATATTTATTAGGAGATTAGAACAATATAGTGAGGGGTGATTAGCCCAGAGTAGGTACGGGCATTGTGAATGTAGTCGGAAGCATCATCATATTAAAGAGGAGTCAAGTGCACGATATATATATATGCGTATCCTATCCCTATCCACAATTACCAAACACCGCACTACCATAGACATCATCAATCCTGAGTATCAATATGAGCTGCTATCATACGATATTTTTGTACGGGTCGATATTAGATAGAAATGTTAACAAAAAGTACCCGGAGTCTACAGTCCAAGCTGTCCATGTGGTTACCAATCACAGAAGCCCAAGCACATGATAATTTCCTGTCCCCGATGGTCAAATGGAAGAGGAGAGATTTGGAGACAAGCCAAAGATCGGTCCTTCGAAGCAATGATAAATAATCCTAGCGATATCAAAAGAATAACACAGTGGATCCTAAACCATGGTTGGATAGTACAATTCCAGATGACAAAGGCAGTCTAAATGCTGCTAAGGGATAGGAACAGGCTAAGCCATTCATGAGGTCAATAATGATGATGTGATTGGGTTATATGGAGGGCACTATAGTGTAACTGCGCTTCCTGAACCGACAATTGGAAAACCATAGACATTGAACAGGAAGCTTTGGGGGGGTTTTCACCAAAAGATTTCCTGCCATATAAATTAGAAAGTATGATAGACACCTTCATGGGCCCATACGGCGCCAAATCAGGACAATGAAATCAAATAAATAATTTAGAATTTAATTTCATATCGCCCATTCAGGTATATCTAGCTACAACATTTACAAAGGAGGAATGAATGAATATATTTGTTTACTGTCCAATTATGTCTATGACTATGTAAGGACATGTAGGTCCTTTCTGCCTATAGGCAGGGGCATCCACATCTCCTTCACGACATCTTTCCAGTAGTAAAAATCCCATAGATTTTCATTTGGGATACACATTAAGAGAAGCCGTTATCCCGTCACTATCTCTCCTCTCCGGCAAACGAAACGATGGCCATTTGCGGGTGTATGGCAGCCGGGAAAAATCGCAAAAACCACTGAGTGTGGGACTCTTGTAATATGAAGAGGCCAGTCAGCGCGGCACGGCAGGCCAGTATATACCTAAGAACGGTTTTCAACCTTCATAGCCTCCTCCTTCCTCCTCCCCTAATTCATGCCGCAGGACATACCGAAAGACGTGAAAGGATGTTAGAAAAGTCCTGGTCAAGAGTGACTGTCGTGAAGGAGCCTAGCCTAGCATCCAAAAGTCGTTATAAACGTGGGGTTGTTGGGTGACTCATGTATTTCAGATGCCCCCTTGACTAGTAGATTCGGAATTTTAGAATAGAAGAGACAATATTGTCGATGATTCGAAATCTACTTTTCTTGAGGGCTCAAGGGCCTTTTACTTTGCATTCGTGGGCTTTTTTTTGCCCGCCTATGGGTAGCACATGTTGTGATATAGCGAGGGATTCCCTAACTAACGTTGTGGCGTTTGGTAGCGCAATATCTTTCCTCATTCTAAACATCACTATCGCCGTCTTGGTCGGCTTACATGTTATCGGAAGCGTATCTCTGGCGGTGGGGTATATAACTCGGCTCAGAGTTGGTCAGGTGCTACTTAATCTCAGCTCTGCAGACTCTACGGTGAGAGCTAAAGTTTGTATGAAACACCATTAACAGTTGTTGAGAAGATTCCGCCATAAAAAGGAGGAGACTTCTTCGGTAAAAACTTCCCAAAACTATCTATCTCATGTCTGTTGGTTTTCCTATGATTTCCTATCAGAAGTGTGTTTACATTGTTCATAGAGTGTAATATCCGTGCAATACCTGTGCACATAGTTTTATCTTTTCGTCCACTGCAACCTCTACTTCTGCAAGCCGGAACTATTCAAATCAGCCGTTTGCAAGTATCCACTCTATAATTCTATCCATATAATCCCGGCTGTTCATCATTGCCGACAAGGACCTCTACTCTTCCTCTTGCTCACTGAGGACACGCCAAGACCATATGCTTGACATTTTGTGACGGGTATCCACACTGATGTTTTGGATTAACCACTCCGGGGACTTTCCTCGGAACCTTCTACCCAAAAAAAGTAAAATGGTAGCAATGGAGACTGGATGCGCGGGGAAAAGTCTCAAAAAGCCTGCAGCCCCAGCCAGGCGAGGCCTAGAAATCGGGACCGAATGAGGTGTGCATATTCGTCTGCATCTTCCTTCTTTGTAACGTTAGAGGCCATCTTGATTCAATCCAACATCTCTGTATCGGGTGCTGGGATGTCGGAACAGTAGTCATGTGCAATCTAATAATACCAAGTGTAATATATAGCTGGCTAGGCGCAGGGCGTTAAGTCGGAGCAGCAAAAGTTTTTGGTGAAATTTTTGTCTTTATTAGACCATGTAAATTTCTGGCCACATAAAGCCAGCATCAGTGGTGTTTGTGGGCCCCCCCGGGAACACGCACCCGTGTCAAGCCTCCTGGGTGTAGGGCTTTAGCCTGATACGTTAAATTATTCAATTCAATTCTAAGTGTAATATGTATTAACTCAATGTAACAGTAGTATAGCTTACGTAATATTCTCTTGGCATTCTTATATGACACCAAAAGGGTTAGAATAGATGAAAAAGATTGAATTGTATAAGAATGCCATTGTATCGTCTTTTTAAATAATTTAATTGCCTTTTGTGTGTGCGCGTATACCGTGTTGTACCAGCAGGGTACGCTCCGCAAACTCATCAGATGGCTTTCCCTCCTTGATCAAGGGTTGGTGATGAGAAAGGCTTCGATTGTTATGGCTCAGTATGATTACTACTTGGTATAATGATTTGCAGTTGTGGCTATACCACTGTGCCATAAACACTGGCCCGAAGTGTGCAGGCCTTATCATATCACGCGCCAACATTTAGTTGAGTCACACTAGGCTGTACAGTTGTACTTAGTTAGGTGTAAGATGTAGCTTTAGTTCTGCAGTTTTGCAATCTGTATTATTAGTCCACAAGCTATTGTTATCCTCGTCCGTTCTGATATACTCTCGTGCAACATCGGCCAGTTCCCAATCTCGAAGACGGCTATCTCTTCACATACAAGCCGTAACATCGACCCTACCATCTAATCTGATGGTGGTTAACTTCATAATAGTGATGTTAGAGGGTTGTCCAGAGAGATGATGACGATACAGACCGCGAAAACGATTGGGAACCCTCATCGAAGTGAGGACTTTGTGTTGGAAATCTAGACTCAGTATGTATGAAGGTTTAGATTTCTAGGTATGATCATCAAGATCAATTGGATTGATTCGATTACATTTGGATAAGTTTAGCTGGGAGACATGAGGTTCAGTGTTATCTGAATTGCAGTGGCTAGGAAATGCTACCTTGCGACAATTAAGTGGCTGGTCGTTGTTAGATCATTGGGAGTTTGGGATCACGAAAGCCTCGGGGATCTGTATTTAATGATAGACTTACTTGTATATTTTAAACTAAGTCAACGGAGTATTATATATTATTAATTCATACTGAGAAGAGAGTTCGATATCATATACAACTATCAATAAAATATTGTCCGAAATTGTAAACTTGTTCTTCGAGATATTTCCTCCTAGAAATCCTTGACAATTTCTAACACTTTGTTACTCAATCTCGGCTATGCAGACTCTACAGTGAGAGCTGGAGGTTCGTAGGGGACACCACTAACAGATGTTGAGAACGGTCCCCCTTTTCTATATGGCGGGCACGTACGGAACAGGTTATACGCCGTAGGGCTTGATTTCTAGTGGTATCTGCAAATGAAATCTGAGTGTGGTCTTCCAAATATCAGAGTAAGTCATCACACATGAAATAAAAATCTTCCGAAAATACTCGCACGGGCTCTCAGGCCGACAAATCAGGATAAATGAAAACTCTATTTATTTAAGCTCTGATGCCAATGATCACGGACCGACCAAAGAAACTTCCCACAGAACTGAGGACGAGCCCGTGTCGAGGGCCTCAGATACCCAGTCTAAGTGTGCCATGGAATATATTGTCTTCTAGGGCTGTTAAGAAAATTCAGGCCTTTCCTCTACCATAACAAAGCAACCTACGAAAATCAGCCCTATCAAACTGCACCAGAATCTAGACACTCTGTCTAGTCTCTCAGCCTAATGATCAATCCCTGCAATTATACATCACCATAGCACTTCCACGTTAGTTATGTCATCTTGAATATTCTTCTTGGACTCCAGCTACATTGGGTCGTAACTCGTCAATGCGGCGCTAATGTCGCATGTTTGTCTCAAACCAATCACTCATTTCACTAATCATTGATAAGTAGAATTCCACAGCTTGAAAATAATACACACTTCAATCGTGCAGGCAAAATGAATTTTTACAGTTGTGAAATTGACTAAAGTAAACTATCGAAACGATCTAATCTTGTAATGACTGACTTTGTACCCTCGACGATATTTCAATCTTATAAAACTTTCAACCGCATTGTTTCATCCAACCAACCGTACTTCTCCGATCTGGTTTTACCATAATGGCTTATCCATATCATAATCGCAGTCCATTTCATTGATTTCACGCTGTTAGATGGTTTTTCTCTCTGCGTTCCAACTAGGTCCGATTCTACATAATTCATTCCTCAAGTGATATATGTTATGATAAGAAAGTATATCCAGTGGAGACCATCTAACAAATTTTATTAAATGGCTTTGTCGAAGATTCTCTCATACTATAAAATTTAGGGCAAAGGTAGATAGTCACATCTAGTTGCCGAAAGGAGGTCGACGACCTGGCTGTCCTCGACCTGGGTCATCTCGATCAGTTTCACTTGTAGTCTTGCTGTGTAATTTGCTACTGCTCGATATGCTGTCGACATCTTCGAGAGAGCTGTCGGATTCTTCGAGGCTAAGGTCCCTAGGTAACTCTTTAATAGTACTCATTTCTTCTGGTACTATTGGTACATTAGGAATTTCTGGTGCGTTGAGCGATTGTCTTTCTGTTAATCCTGATGTTGCTGGTACTGCTGGTACTGCGGGGACATTTGGAACATTGGGAATAGTCGGCACGTTGATAGATTGTCTCTTCGCCGGTCTCGATGTTGATGGCACGGCTGGTACAGCAGGGACATTTGGAACATTGGGAATAGTTGGCACGTTGATAGATTGTCTCTTCACCGGTCTCGATGTCGATGGCACCGCTGGTACAGCGGGGACATTTGGAACATTGGGAATAGTTGGCACGTTGATAGATTGTCTCTTCACCGGTCTCGATGTCGATGGCACCGCTGGAACGTTTGGAACAGCCGGAACATTAGGTATAGCCGGCACGTTTATAGACTGTCGGCCAGATAGTAGTGGTATGGCAACAGTTGTGATGGCAAAAAGCGGAAAAATGGTGATAGTTGAATAATGCATCTTGAAATAATTCTTATCAGTGTTAAGCTAGAATGTTGCACTTCAAACCCGGAAGGTGAGATCGTATGAGCGTGGAGACTTGTAATGAAGAGATGTTCACACTGATGTTGGAAAAGGTGGACTCAACTGTGGATGCAGAATGAGTTTTGTGAGTCGCGGCAAGTATTATATATGTCCAACCTCCGCTGAGCGAGTGCCTCACATTGATCTCATGGCGTGTGTTAGGGGGCCGGCTGGGTCTTAATTTGGCATCGCTCGTAGTCTGTTATTTTGTTTTGCAGCTGCAAGGCGTAGGCGAGTGTTTCTCAAGCATGAGCCCTGTAAAGTAGTCGGGGCGCCAGACATACGTCAACGAGCTGTCACCCATGCACGGTAAGTTGAAAGTGCCTCTGATTCGGAAGTTTATTAACCGCCTCGACACTAGGCTACAGCTCGCTCAGCCACGATTGCTCTTCGGAAATACAGCTCTGCTAGGTTTTGGCTACAAGGAAAAGGACTTGAATCTAGAGAGTTGTCGTCCATCCCCTGCCTGTAATCCCCGGCATAATCCTGCGTCATTACCGATCAATTTTTCGGCTTCTGTCTACGTGAAAACAATGACGCTATTCTGTCTGTGGGGTTGCGGCTTGGTGCACGAGCCCTTGACTCCTGATTGGATGCCGAAGCATGTAGGGCGTCTCCAATCCCCTGGTAGTCGAGGAATCGGGCCCCACGATCCGGGACAACCAATCACCGCGTGTTTTCCCACCGATCTCGTCTAAATTTAGGCGACATATAAACGATATAGCCTCCTGAGCTAGTCCACTAGAAGCTAGCTATAGCGGATAGCTAGCTAATAATACACTACGATCGCCGTCCAGATCAGCACTACCCGGGGCTGGAATGTGCTTAGGAGCGACAAATCGGGTGATATGAACTCAAGTTTTACGATATCTCGTACCAGCCAGGAATCCCTTAGACTACAGAGGTTGAGTGAAACTAACGGAAAGGCTATCTACATTTTTGACAAATTCTATAGTACGGTAAGATGATTACATGTACTTTTTCGGCCTCGATATCTGAAATACTAGGCACTAGAGATGGGGCAGCATCAAGGCGATGCCGGTCGTATGTCTGCCACCCTGGTAAAATCTAGCTTAGACTGGAGCGAACTGAAGGCCCTTGGAGAGCTACGCTAGGTGGCTATCGATTCCTCGCGCCCCTTTCCTGACCGCTGGTACAAAAGTCAGTGCCTATATTACCACCAGCAAGACCGAGCATACCGAACGTTGTTTCGAACATGTTACTAGACCCTGCCGACATGGAGTATGGGACAGCTGATATGCGCATGAAGGTCTAGCGGAGGAACTTTTAGCCTGCAGCTCTAAAGGACATGCATATCTAGATATATTTTTAGTTTCCATAGGACAATTATATCTGCAAAGAAATATTTTACGCGCCCTAGCAAGTTGCACTCCAGGTACGGCTGCGGGAATATCAACTCGCATGCGGGATACGCTGAACTAGCTTCTGCAGCTATTTAAAGAGCAGCAAGATGCAGGCCATACCCCGACTGCCAGTCAGTGGTCATAAAAACTGTCATTGATGATCTCCTGGGTTTAGACTCTAATCAGAAACGTGATTCTGATTGATTAAATTCAACGTCGTGCCAGTGCTCAACACTTGACTATAGTCACGTGCCTGCCTGCCCAGTCCCAAACGACCTAACCGACGCTCCGACACAGTAGAGAGTCCGTTCGGCTGCTCAGGAGAAATGACAAGAGTATTCATTGGGGATTTTTCCAGACAAACGTTTTGAGAAGATGTTTGGGTGACGCAATCAGCGCGGTCTGTGGCTGTATTGTGTTACTTGGAATACATGGACAACAGGTAAGGGTGAACTACTAGTATATCGACAATAACCTTACAACGCAGTAATTGACCTTGCTGCATTGACTCTTAGGAAAATATTGACAGTCGATTCGTCCATTTGCGTAAGACCACGTCCTATAAACAGCCAAGGGGCATCCAAACTATACGATTATTCCATACCTCCATATGCGCAACGACCATTGGATGCTAGGCCGTGAAGAATCACGGCAACCGATCTCGATCAAGACTTCATTAACATTAGTCGTTCCCTGCCGCTCGAATCGTAGAAGGAGTAAACAAGAGTTTAGGAGAATCGAGAGACGCTCTATAGCATACGCGGGTCTGCTGCGCCCAAATTTCCGGCCTCTCCGAATGTTTCAGGAGGGTAAAGATGTCTTCCGATTTAATCCTTTTGTATGCATTTGGAGAGCTTCATAGCCAGTGGTTATTGCGATGTTCCCCGGCCGCCATAAATCCACAAATAGCTTTCGTTCCGTTGGCTGGACAGGGAAGCAGTAAAGGGCAGAGGGCTTCTCAATATGTATGATTGAATAAAGACTTTTGAGGAGTTAAACAATTTGAAGGGAACTAGATGGAAAGCATAGGATGGGACACATTACTGGATATGTGTCCTTTTTTTGTATCAGAGGTGGAATATTCTCAACACCTGTCAGTAGTGTCCCCTACGAATCTCCAGCTCTCACCGTGGAGTCTGCAGAGCTGAGATTGAGTAAAAAAGTTCTCACTTCGATGAGGATTCCCAAACGCTTTCGCCGTCTATATCTTCTTCATCTCTCAGCATATTCCCCTGTAACCCATATTTCAAAGGAAAAGCCATCCGACGTTTTTCCGGGGCGTATCCAGCACCCGATACGGAGATAGTGGATTGGATCAAGTTGGCCTCTAATGTCACAATGAATGAAGATATAGATGGATATGCGCACCTCCTGTGGCCTCGGCTGACTGGGGCTGCGGGTATTTTGAGACTTCATCCCGCGCACGCGGTTTCCATTCCGACTGTTTTTTATTATCATTAATTCATTTTATTATCCTGTCTGAGTCTATGACTATGTAGGACATGCAGGTCCTCTCTGCCTACAGGCCATGGAATCCTATCTAGTAGTATATCCCTTCCTATGCCTCCCATACAGCTCCCCTCAAACAGTACCACCCCTCACAAGTCCTCATTCGATCATACACTAAAAGGAGCCCTTTGCCCTTCATTATCTCTTCTCTCTAGCCAACGAAATGATGGCCATTTGCGGGTGTATGGCAGCCGGGAAAAATCGCAAAAACCACCGGGTGCGGAGCTCTCCTTATACCGAAATTAGGACTAAATCCGAAGACATAGTGATCCTTCTGAAGCGTTCGAAGAGGCCGGCCAGCTAGGCGCTGCAGACTTGGGGGTACCTCGGGAAATTCACACTCTGCCTTTCTAGCCTCCTTCCAACTCCTTCCCGAAGGTCGTGGTGAAATGTCAGAAAAGTCTTGACAGAGCGTGATTGCTGTATAGTATCTTAGCCTAGCTTCTTTTGTGCCGTTGACTCATCGACAATAGAAGCCATCCTGGCTAATTAGCCGAAATCTTGGTCTTGGCGCCCACAAAAAATACAAAGTTGAAAACTCCTCGAAAATATCCGTCTCAGCATGCTCTTCAGAGACCTATTCCCCCTCTCGCTCCACGTCTCAGGCGCCTGTTCTTCCTCAAGTTGTTTGTACCATTAGAGCAACAGTCCCCCATAAGACAAGACCTAGGCTTTGTATTTGTCGACTTGATTTCCTCCTTGCGGGTATAAATAGCGTCGTAAATATGTAGTGAGAGATGGCTGGAGATTAATGGGGCAAGCTCCTGTATGCAATTGGAGCAACTTCTTTATTGGTCGTCGAGGCGAGATGATGCTTGTTTAGACAGAGTTTGAGGACTCAGATGATAATGATGAGAGAGGCATTGTCGAGAAGTCGTCAAATGGAGATGTGTTTGATGTTGCTTTCGACTGCGATTCGGATGCGATTCTTCTTGGCTATCCCAGATATGGAGAGCATATTGAGCGATTACACCGGCACCACTGGAAGGTGAAGAATTCGTCTTTGCCGGCTTTCATTATCTATTTTGGGGTGAAGGGTCCCGTCGGAAAGGTGGTTGGATTGCGCTGGTAGATAATTACGTAAGTGAAAATTGCCAAGGGTTTCATTTCGGTGATCTTTTACATAACAAATGGGGGTACCAGCATTATGCAGGATGTAGCCTGGGCCAAAGAACAGTCCGATTTTTTGCTACTGCTGTCACGTTTCCATTAAGGAGGGCAAGACTGAACACCTGTACGCGGTGTCCTCTACGAACCTGGGAGTGAAATATTCTCCCAGAGCCAAGTTCAGTCAAATTTCGCAATATCAAAGAAGTTGGCCCGCGAGGCAAAATTTAAAATTACTCAACCACGTCGTTTTTTCGCTCCCAACGAATTTGACGCCTGCCTAAGTCTCATCAAGTCTACAAGTACGACCTAGTACATCCTCATCCCTATGACCATACCTCTCTCCGACCTTCTCTAGCCTCAGCCGGTCACCAAATACACGCCCACGCCGATATTTATACCCGACAAAGGAAGCAAAGCGTGGCGCACAAATCTGGAAGATAGTCCTTTGAGATGGACGTGAGAGGGATCAGGACAAGTTGAAAAAATGATGCAAAGGAAGGATATAACCTTGAAGGGCGTGAAATTCCGAATTTTGGCAAGGAGTTTTAGGAATTCAGCTTTGTGCGCGCCAATACTTCGCTTGCAAGAGTGCAGCTAACACTATAAAAACAAGCAGACGATGGAAGGTGTTGTGATCAACCCCCTGGTGGTGTTCTCTGGTATAGTTTGAGTAGCCTGGGCATCTACTCCACTTGGGAAGGAGACACCTCAGACCATCTTTCGCGCGGAGAAAAGTTGAAAGGTGATGGAGGCATGTCTGGATAACTCAAGTTCTTTGAGATGTTCCCCTGGGTGGGTATTCACGGATGAGGGTTGAGTTGGGGTGAAGAAAAAGCCACCATAACTTCGCAGTGGTACCTGCAAATGAAACCCGAGGCATGAGTGCTCCTCTTGTAAATTGAGTCATCTTTTCTGTACTTTTCTTTGATATTGTGTCATAGCTAGATAGCTGCA